CCGAGCCCGCGCCCGCGCCGACGCCCGCGCCCGCGCCGCGGCCGTCCCTCCAGCCGTGGCCGCCGGCGGCGCCGCGCGCGTGGGCGCCGCGCGCGCCCGCGGCGCCGGCGGGCGCCGGCGCCGCGGCGCCGGGGCCCCGGCTCCCGCCGGACGCGCGCGACGACGCCGCGAGCGCGCTCGTCGGCGCGGCCGCCGCGGCGCTCGTCCTCGTCGCGCTCTCGCGCGGCGGCGGCGGCGCGGCGGCGCGGCGGCGGCCGCGGCCCGACGCCGCGGGCGCCTACGCGCGCGTGGACAACGCGGAGGCGCCCGGCGACTACCCGAGCGGCTTCATCCAGCGGCGCCGGGCCCCGGGCGGTCCCCCGGCGCCGGCGCCGGACGACGCGCTCGACGACGACGACCTCAGCGACTTCGGCGCCTTCGTCTCCTGCGAGCCCCGCGGCGGCGCCCCGTAGCCGAGACCCCGCGGCGGCCCCCTTAGAAGACGACGATCTTCAGGACGAAGATGGCGACGAGGATCGCGATCTCGCAGAGCGCCGTGGGCACGTTGCAGAACGCGACGACGAGCCAGATGTACTGGTACTGCCAGGACTGGGCGATCATGGACGACACGAGGACGCCGCCGGCGAAGTGGCAGATGATCTGGAGCAGGTTCGCCTTGGGGAAGAAGAGGCTCGTGCCCGTGAGGATGCCGACCATGTCGAAGACGAAGCACGCGAGGCAGACGACGTACGCGGCCTCGAACTCGGCCTTTGCTTCGTCGTAGCGCGCCTTGCCCGGGTCCCGCGGCAGGCCCGCGAGGATGTTCTCCTTCTTCGTGTAGACGATCATGAGCAGCGACACGAGGTGGCCCATCGTGAGCATGAACCGGGCCGGGATGAGCACCTGCGCGGCGCGGCGTCGACGCCGCGGCTTTGGGCGGGGGTCGAGGGGCGCGATCGGGCGCGCGCACCTCGAGCAGGTTGCGGCCCATGGCGTCGCGCGGCGGCCCGCGGCGGGCCGCGACGCGTCGGGCGGGTCGCGCGCGGCGCGCGGGGGCCGGCGCCGCGCGCGCGGGCAGCCCGGGCGCGCAGCCTTCGAGCGCCCGTTCGTGAAGTGCAAGTATCATTTTAAAAAAAGCGCGCGCGGATCCTCGCCGCCGGCGACAAGATCGCACGAAACCTTTGGCGTCGACAGCCGCGCGTGCGAGGACACCATGCCGTCGACGCTCAAGAAGCTGACGGGTTTCTCCGCGAAGACGTTTGCTGCGGCGTCGCGACCTGGGAAACCAACCAAGGCGTGCATGGCATAGGTTCACGGGCAAGTCCGCCGAGCCCGAGGAGCCCGCCGCCGAGGGCCCGCCGAGGAGCCCGCCGCCGAGGAGCCCGCCGCCGAGGAGCCCGCCGCCGAGGAGCCCGCCGCCGAGGAGCCCGCCGCCGCGCCCGCGCCGCCGGCCGCCGCGCCGGAGCCCGCGCCCGCGCCCGCGCCCGCGCCGGAGCCCGCGCCGGAGCCCGCCGGGGAGGTCGCGGTCGCGCCGGAGCCCGCGAAGCCCGAGCTCGACGTGCCCACGGTCGACATGGACGAGGCGCGCGCGCGCGCCGACCGCTACGAGAAGCTCGTGCTCGCGGCGAGCGACAAGGCGCCGCCGGGGCTCGCGCCCTACGTGCAGATGGCCGCGCCCGCGATCGGCGTCGCCATCGCCGCGGCCCAGGCGCTCTGGCCCTACGTCTTCTTCGCGCTCAAGGCGGGCTACTACGCGTACAGCGTCACGCCGACGAACCTGCTCGCGGCGTTCACGGGCCTCGTCTTCTGCTTCTTCGGGGGCACCTACGCCGTGCTCTTCGCGGCCGTCGAGGCCGCGCGGCTCAGCGGCTGGGAGGCGACGTGCGCGGCGGCCGCGGACATCGTCGACGAGGTCTCCAAGGTCGCGCGGCTCAGCGCCGCGGACGACGCCAAGGACGACGACGGCGACGGCGTCGCGGACGTGGACCAGATCGACGGCGCGGACCTGCTCCTGCGCAAGACGAAGCTCGTCCTGACGAAGGTCGACCCGGGCAAGCTCAACGTCGCCGTCGGCGGCCTCTACACGGCGTGGCTCGGCGTCGTCGCGACCCTGAAGGTCCGGTTCGCGCGGACCGTGACGCTCGCGCTCACGATCGCCGACTTCCTCGAGCGGCCCGCGACGCGGTTCCTCGACCCCGCGCTCCGCCACGTCGTCCCGGACGAGTACGAGCTCTGGGTGCCCGTCGTGCTCAAGTGGGCCTGCAAGTCCGCCGGCATGTCCGTGGCCTGGTACATCCAGGCCGTCATCTCCGCCGTGTCGTCGGGCATCCGCGGCGGCCTCCTCTTCGCGCGGTCCATGATGGCATTCGCCGTCGGCCGGGGCGTCACGCTCGGGGGCCTCATCCCGGAGGACGACGCGGACACCATGCTCGACGAGTACGTCGGCTACGTCCTCGCGGCCTGCGGCGTCTACTTCCAGGTGTTCCTCATCAACTTCAGCGTGCCCTGGTACCTCAACATCGTCCTCTGGCCCTTCGGCGTCGCGAACGAGTACATCAAGTGGGCCGTCACCTCCAACTAGGGGCGCCACGTACCCGCGCGCGCGTTAGACCCGGGCCGCGCGCGCGTCGTCGCCCGAGAGGCTCGCGAGCTCCGCGGCCGGCGGCGCGTCCTCGCCGGCGCCGCGTCGCGTCGCGTCGGCGACGGCCGCTATGTCCGCGGCGAAGAGCCGGATCGCCGGGCCGCCGTGCTTGGCGACGTCGAGGCCCCGGAGCTCGACGGCCGGCGGCACGCGGAGGCCCGGGTTGCCGCACGCGCGCGTCGCCGCCTGGGCAGGAAAGGGTGCGACATGCCCAACTTCACAGGCTCCTCGGTCGTTGTCCGCTCGTTTCGGCTGAATTTTGGACGAGCGATCATCTCTCGGAGCGCTCTCGACGCGTGGGTGCTGTTTCCGAAACGCGCGCGCGCGGAACACTCACGTTGAAGCGACGTTGAATCACCCGTGTCCTGCCCTGGTCGCCGCGGCGCCCGCGAGGAACGAGAGCGCGGACGCGGCGCAGGCCCAGGCGGCGACGAGCGCGACGCCGAGCGCCTGGGCGCCGAGCTGGACGCCGCCGCCGCCGGCGAAGAGCCCCGGCCTCGCGTGGTCGTAGCCCGCGGCGGCGAGCCGCGCGTCGGTCGCGAAGAGGCCCGACGCGAGGACGCCCCAGGCGCCGGGGAACGCGTGGATCGCGATCGCCTCGACGGGGTCGTCGACGCAGAGCCGGTCCAGCGCGACGCGCCCGCCCGCGTAGACCGCGCCGCTCACGGCGCCGACGGCGACCGCGGCGCCCGGCGCGACGACGCCGCAGGGGCCCGTGATGCCCACGAGCCCCGCGAGGAGGCCCGACACCGTCGCCGGCAGCGACCAGTAGCCCGCGCGCCACCGCTCGACGCCCAGTGCGACGAGGGCGCCGCAGGGCGGCGCGAGCGCCGTGTTCACGGCCGCGAGCGCCGCGACCTTGGCGCCGCCGCCCGAGAGGCCGCCGCTGCAGCCCGCGTTGAAGCCGAACCAGCCGAACCAGAGGCAGTAGACCCCCAGCGCCGTGAGCGTCGCGTTGTGCCCGGCGAAGCCCCGGAGGTCGTCGGCCTTGCCCTTGCCCGCGTCGGGCTCGCGCGCGCCCGCGACGGCGAGCCGCGCCGCGACCGACCGCCGGTACGCGTCCGCGGGGAAGCGGCCGAGGCGCGGGCCGAGCATGACGGACCCGACGAGGCCCCCGAGCCCGCCGACCATGTGCACGAGCCCCGAGCCCGCGAAGTCGATGACGCCCACGTCGAGCAAGGTCGTGCCGTGCCAGACGCTCATGCAGCCGCCGTCGGCCCAGACCCAGTGCACGGGCACGGCGTAGACGACGCCCGTCACGAGCGTCGCCGCCACCAAGTACGCGACGCAGTCCACGCGCTCCGCGACGCACCCGCTCACCGTCGTCGCCGCCGTCGCCGCGAAGGACCAGTGCCAGGCCCAGATCGCGTAGTCGTAGGGCGACTCCAGCGACCGCAGGAAGAAGCCCGTCGACCCGACGACGCCGGACGCCGAGTCGCCGAACGCGAGGCCGTAGCCCACGGCGGCGAAGACGACGGCGCCCAGGGACACGTCGAGCAGGTTCTTGAAGAGGATGTTGCCCAGGTTGCGCGCGCGCACGGACCCGGCCTCGAGCATGGCGAAGCCCGCCTGCTCCCAGAAGACGAGCGCCGTGCACACCAGGATCCACCCCACGTCCACGGCCTCCGCCAGCTCGGCCACGGCGTCGTCGTCCGCCATCACCGACCACGGGTGCGGCTTCGGACGTCTTCGGGCGGCTTCGATGCTTCGCCGAATGGATGAGCGCGAATAAAAATCCCAACACCGTCCCGCCGGGCTAAAAACTAAAAAAAGCAACTCCAGGGACTGATTCCTCGAAAAAGCAACTCAAACAATCAGGCTGCGAGCAGCCCTTTTGCAGCGTCGATGGACGAAATTCTCGTCTTCTCCAGCCCGTAGCTCGACGCAGATGCAGAGTTGCGCAACGATCCCCGCGGCTGCGAGGACCGGAACCCTGTTGCGGACACATTCCCCGCGGGATGTCACTCCCGAGGATTGCGCCGCATCGCGCGCGGGGCGTCCCAAGGGGTCGGAAGAGGGTTTTCGGCGTCCCCCGCACCCTTTTCGACCGTGTTCGAGCGCACGGAGCGTCGGGAATCGTTCGTCTATGTACCGCGGGCGTCCCATTTGATCCGCTCGGCCATCGACGTCGAAAACATCGACCGCCAACGCGCGCATAGAAACGTGGCGCGGCAGCCCAACCGGCCCCCACGTCCAGAAACGCGGTCTGGGCCGACACCACCGCCCGAGCCCCGTCCCCAGTATGTGTCCGGTGGGATCGAGTACATCTCCTACTGCGGAGGGCCACCCCACGGTGCCGATCTCGGCCGTTTCGTCGTCCCCATGGAGGCCCGGAACGCCGACTTCACGGCGTCGGCCGCTGCAGTAGGTGATGTGCTGAATCCGCCTCAATGGCCCAAAGA